GTGAATCTACTTTGAAAAAAAATAAAAACTGATTAAACAAAGGAATTTTGGCGTAATTCCAATTGTAGTGGATTAGTGAGTCTTTCAATATGATTGTATCAAAATTCCAGACTTTATTTCCTAGCCCTTTGTTTGTGGAAACTAAAAGAAGGTTGATCACCTAGTGCTGGTAGCTTGACATTTTGGGCTTATTTGGGTTATAAAATGACGTTTCTTATGGGAAAGGTTTCCTTCTGCAAAAGTGTAGGTAGTGTTTTGTTCTTTCCAATGCCACCTCACAAGCCTGATTTGAAACATATTTGATCATAAAACGTGTGGACTTTGTGGCTGCCCAGATTATCCAAATTAGAATAGGATTGTATTTCCTAGTTTATTATTTTAATTGGGTTTCCAGATTTGTTGGGAGATCCATTTTAGGTAGAATTCATTATGTCTATTTATATACTGATTTTGGAGCCCTAAAGGATCGAACGTTTTTGGCATAGCTTTGGACAATTTGTACTTCAATTGTAATGGTGTTTACTTTACTTTCATCTTAATAATATTTTGCCTTTCAATTATGAATATGCATAACTAATTTCCTCTTGTTAGGGCGAGATGATGCTATGCATGTTTGCTTTGAATTATTAATCGCCGTGTTTAAACTACCTATATATTTTAATGTTTGATCACCATTAGGACATTTAGACAAGTAATTTAATGCAATTTCTATTGGAATATCATCCTGAAATTTATATATCTTAATGCTTGATCACTTTTAGGATATTTAGACAAGTAATTTGATGCAATTTCTGTTGAAATATCACCTGAAAATGAGTAGGGGCTTCTTGTGATTGATAATTATAAGTTCACTTAAGACAAATATCATGCTCTTAAGGGTTGCATGATTTTTCAAAAGATTTTCACAAAACTTAACGAGTCTTGTATGTTCATATTTGATCTGAATATTACAGATAGATTGCATGTTAAATAACGTTCTAACTTGAATATCAATATGCATTAGAAAAACCTAACCTTCTAAGTTTGAATGTGTTAACTCATAAGTTATTGGTGGAATTATATAGGATTTTATGGTGACAGCTAAATCCTAGTGCCTTTTTAGATTTGAATTTACAAAACCGTTTTTTTTTCTTTGATGTCTATTTTAATTCTTATCAATTTAGATATTTTTATTTTATATTCTTTCTATTTCAAATTCGCAATTCCAAATCTTTTCTAAATCTTGTTTTGAATAGTTAATTAAGAATTGGTTTTAAATACAAGCTGTTCACATCAATTTCTGTGGAGAACGGCTTTTCTTGAGCTATCCATACTATAATTACCTTGTTTCCTTGCAAGTATTTCAACGTGATTTAACCATACTTTTGCAGGTGGTAAAAATCATATTAGTATTCCTTTGGCTTGTAGATTAATTAGAAATGTTTGAAATGTTGCTATTTCAATTGGTTTTTTAGATTTTGTTTTTCATATCCATATTGTGGAGTGTGGGAGTCGAAGATTCGATGATGGAATGGTGGCTGTTGTGTGTCGAGGACTCGACTCAAGTGGGAGAGAGGAAGACTTCCATTGATTCCATGTTAGAAACGGGCCGGTCCAGGGTCCTCTTTTTCTTAATTTTTGGACATGCCCTGCCTTATCAATTCTTCCGCCCCGCTTTGTTTCCTATCCAATATATTTAGACTCGCCTCAACCTGCGAGTCTGTAACCCGTTTGCCCATCCCTATTTTTATATAAAAGTTTACCAAATTGTCTGATATTATTTTTTTTCATTAAAAGTACTTTTAACAAAAAGGTTTACGAAACACTCAGTTGTTTTATTTTGCAGCTGTTTATTCTCACATCATAGTCAAAACAACTTTATTTTTTTAAAGTACAATATTACCAAACCAGCCCTAATTTGCTCAAGTGGCATCCACATCAACTTATTTGCCACCCAAGTGGTGAGACACTCCTCCACTCCACTCCTTTTTCATTCTCTTTTCTCCCTTCCACTACTCAATAGGAGCTCACTCTATAATGCAATTATTTTTTGAATTAATCGTTGCTTGCAAAACCTTTTGTGACTAAAAAACTAAAAATCATTTATCACTTTGATTATTATGGTGTGCATTTCATTTCTCTTTTTTTATTCATCAAGAATTATGATATTTGAACTCAATACATCCTCAAACAAAATAACTACTAGGTGTAGTAAGACAAGTCCTTGGCTAACTTTAAATCTCCAATTTTGTTGGACATTTAAACTTCCATCCAAGCAACCATAACTCTAATGGCACACGTTAACTTATCGTGTATGAGAATACAACACATTAGTATTGGTTTCATTATGTATCATTCCTTTATTAACACAAAAGGAAACGAAAAGAATAATTGGGTCTCGTCTTAAAAATGTGTTCCATTTCCAATTTCAGCAAGAAATCATTACCCATACTATACACCTGAACAATTTACGTATCATTCCCTCATTATTCATACTATTTATACTCCCTAAAATGTAAGTAAAGATAACAGCTATCAACCCCTCTCCATTCTATCAGGACAACATTGTATTGAGGAAGTGATCTACTTGTTTTCAAGAGGTGGCAAATCAATCCATTGGTTGTTAATGTACCTGATAACATTCATTTAGTTTAATTTCATCTTACACTATCATCATCAATACCAATTTCACCTTATACTACCAATTTCACCTTATACTATGATGATATTAAATTAAACAGATTTTAACGGGTACCCGTTAACAACCTAATGAATTGATATGTCACCTCTACTTTTTCATCTCCCCTTCAAACCATTTTCTACTCCAACCCAATAAATATGGGCTTAAAATGAAGATTCTAAAATGATCACCCTAACCCCGAAAGAAAAGGGTTTGACCAAGTTGGTTTGATCCCAATATCAATTGGTCTCCAATTAAGAAGAAAACGCACTTGATTGGGATGAAATTGATATCACAAGTTGGCTTACAAAATACATAACTAACTAAGTCAAGGAAAAACAACACAAAGTTCAAAACCAGCCCATCAATCCAAACCAACAAACTCTAAATTAAAATTATACTTTAAGAACATTTAGGTCAACACCAAAGAAAAATTCATGATATTTTGGGTGAGTGCCAAGAACTAGATTTGATTTATGTTATACAAATCCACATATATAGTTTTGATATTGACAACCACTAGAAAATGGCAAACCACAGTGTCTTACTGAGGTGTAAGCTAAAGCATCATGGACAAAGTCACAAAACTGTTTGATATATTTTCTATGTCGATATCATTATCAGCATGTAAATTCTTTCCATAATCATTTAGGTGTTAATCATACTATTTACGAAACTTGTATATCGCGCGTGGACGCATGTTCAATCACTTTTATTATATAACACATGTAAATTTTTATATTTTAAAATATAAAGTCGTATCTTCGTACATATTGTAATTCTTATATCATATGTTGTTATTGTCATTCACAATGCGTTTTTCTATGAAAATAAGTCATATGACACAAGGTTACATGAAAACATATATGTTTAAAATGGGACTCTACTACCTGACAAAATAATTTATAATATTGTCACATAAATTAATGTTAAAATATGAGATGTCAAAGAGTTCCGTTTTGTAAGAGAGTCCCTTAGCATATTTTCACCGACAGTCAATTACACCGACACATGAGAGACTGAGACTCGACCTTTGCTGGTGGGTGATTGCCCATGTTTGCTTGGAGGGTAAAGGAAAATATGGTAGAACCATGGCCATCACATGGTCCGAAACAACTACCAAACCTTTAGGCCTTGTCGCTTATGGGAACACCATCCATTACTATGTAAATGCACATACCAATATGTCTGATATGATTCTGATATCATTATTTTGTTGCTTTGGGATTTCAATTTGGTTCCTAAAATTTGGAAATTTAAATAAATCATGCATGATTGTCAAATATTTGGCATCGCATGCAAGTTTGTCACATTTTGCATGTGGTGTGGGGCTTTGTAGGACATAAATTCTTCACCACAGAATAGTACATCACATTATTTGCATGTACCAAAATTTTTGTCCAATAACAACTAATATGGCATGAGTTTCATAAATGAACTTAAGTCAAGGAGAGTTTTCAGCTGCCCCAAAACACACTTAATTTTTAGGAGCTCGTAATTTAAGTAGTTAAACGATGATTTACTGTGTATGATAAAAAATCATTTATCATGTCTGATAGAAAAATCATTTACCATGTGGATGAAGTTTTTTGTGTTTGATTAGTTCACATAGTAAACGATCATTTATCTTGCACTCGAAGTTTTGATATTCAATTCTCTTTCTCTAATTGCAAAAGTTTTAGAGAGGCAGGCCAAATAGTCCAATGTCGATATCATTACCAACTTAACCACCGGTTGCTGAACAGAAGTAAGGTTTATCTTAAAAGGCCTTAATATAAATTAAAAATGAAACCATGTAATTATAAGTTGTAAATTATTTTGTCAAATTCCCGCTCTGAGATTTTCAACACCAATCTTGCTTGTATAAAAAAAATAATACATTTAACGTAATCTTGAAAAACTCATAGCTTGTAGAATCTTTACCTTGCACTTGAAATATGTGTTCGATTCCTTTATCTTTTATTGCTTATATACAAAAAGAAAATACAATCTAATTAAAAGACTATGGTCTTTTAAAATGAAGCAAAAAGAAAATGCCATTAGACCACTAGCAATATAGAATGTGGCCAATTGCTCACATAAGTCACAGTTGAAAGTTGCCCTTTTACCTAACAAAGCCTTCCCACATTGCACATAAACCCCATTGCCTATTTCATACCTGAAAGACTGAATCCAATCAAGACTCATTGGCGGGCAATTAGTTGAAAAAATAAGTCAAGAATGTGCACATTAATCAATGCACTAATCTTCTCTATACATTTCTAAACAATCTCGTAATATTTTATTATCTTGGAACACACATACACCCCCTCTCTCTCTCTCCTTTCTCTCTCCTTTCTCTCTCCTTGTGTTCCACGATTCCACCCACTCTCGTATTACACAAAAGTTTCTCACTTGGACTTAAGTAAGCACTGACTGCTGCTTTTTGCTTGATCACTTGCAGCAAAAGTTTAATCACCCATGGAAAAAAAGACAGTTCCATTAGAACTCTCCAAACTTTCCAAATTCTACAGCATTTTATTATTAGTCTCCAAAAAACAGCAATTGGGTTTTTCCCACCTAATTGTTCTAGTAATTTGACTAAATTGTGTCCCATTACTTCTGTGGTACTATTTGTGGGTCTGCTTCTGTAGTCCAAAACTTGCCTTGGAGGTTGCTTTCTTAAGGTTACATCCATGTTTTGCTTCAGAGTACTGTGTGCAAGTTTGTTCTCTTTTCTTTTTTTTGCTCCTCGGTTTTGTGGTTGCACGAGAGCTGAGAGATCTTGAGAATTTAGCTCCAACTCGTCTGGTGGTGAAATGGGCATGCAACTGCATCTTCTGCTTCTGCAAATGTGTTTGATTGCTGGTGCTCTACCATTTCATGGATCTGCAGGTAACAAGTTTGATTTTTTGGTGTTGGTATTTAAACTTAATTATATCTGATCAAGTTTATGCAATATGATTTACTACATATTTTTTTTCATTAATTTTGAAGTGTGAATCAATTTTGGGATCTGGGTTCTCTGAAATGAGTGTTTCTGTGATCAAGAAATAGATTTCAATAATTTCTTTTGCATGTGATCATGGAATACAATGATCAATTGCATGGATCCTTTGCAATGGCATTTGGAGTGTTCTATTGACTAGATAATTGTCAGGTTTATTCATCACTCTAATTCTTGAGCTTGGAAGTCCATGAGCTCAATAGGAAATTCTAGGCCACTCCAGCAGGACATTTTCGACCTTCTTGTGATTGTTAGTTTCGAAAAATGACCGAAATTGCGAGACTGAATTATGTACTCAACTGGTTCTTTACCTATTCAGTTTTGTGGTAGCTCCAGCAATCGGTGAGTGTAATGGTGAAGGGTGCATGATCCAAAATTCACAGCTTGGCCTGAGTTGTCCCTGTACTTGCTTTAAAATTATTCTAACCTCTAAGTTGTAACAGGTTATTGCACAGACCAACATCAGTTATTGAGATATGGGAAGCACCAACTTATTTATAAATTATAGTTATTTTCATAAATGGTGTCGATTTGTAAAATCAGAATTTTGATTTATACCTTTCCAACCGAATTACACGTCCATATCGGTTGTTTTCCAAATTCCACTCCGAGAGCGATTCGCTCTAAGCATTCCTCTGTAAATGCATAGTCCCTTTCATGGTTACCTCCCCCATATATATGAGTAGAGATTTGTTGCCTCTTTATAATGATTCATTTATCTGAAGTGCATTAGGTTTGAGTTTACCTTGTTTTGTGTTCACCGTCTGAGAGCCACCTCGATGTATTTCTAGTTCTCAGTTATTCGAACTGTTGGTTTTAACTTGCACTGCCAGAAATATAGCCTGTGAAAATGAGAAATCAAGAAGCGATTAGTTAGATCGCCCCTTCAGTATATTTATCACTGCATATTTAGGTTGACGTTTTAACATCCGTTTATATTTTCGCCTCATTGTTATAGTTCACTAACTAATGTAGTTGAACCGTTGTATTCATCTGGAAGGAAAATATCAGAATAAAAATTCAATCAAAGAAGTGATGATTGAATTTTCCTGTCTGTGTAATGATGTAACAATAACCAAAATCATTTTTCTTGTTGAAGCCACCCATCCTCGCGATGCCATAAGGCCTTCAAGTATTGCAGTTCCACCTTCTCTGTCACCCTCCGGAGGTCCTGCAACGAAATGGGTGCATGGTCCCGTGTCTTCTCCTTTGGTCTCACATCAAAAACATCACCACAGTAGAAAAAAGTTCCACAGCTCTGCTCCAGGACCAACTTATCCGTTTCATTCAAACACTTACAATGGACAAGGTTCAAATCTCTTAACAAAATGTGTCTACCACATATATGCAGTTCTGTACTCTTGAATGAGATCATTCATATATTATTTATATTATGAAAATGTATAGGCCCTTCAGTCTCACCTGTTCAGTCACTCTCTCCGTCAAGGAGCTGGGTTGCACCTGCACCATCACCGGCAACTCTCACAAGCCACTATAACAGTATGGAAAGCATCACTTCAGTTTTGGTAGCATTAATAAAAAAGTCCTTACTTCATTAACCTAAATTGTGATTTTTTTTCGTCTCTTCTAGTGCCCATCTTCCCCCCTGCAGCTTCTCCCGTCGATTCTTCCTTCAAGACGACAATGGCTCCACAACCATCACCAATTTTAGCACTACCACCCCCACCTCCCAACGAAGGTACATACTCAGCCGTTCTATTGATTTAAAAATAGTTAACAGTTATTTATCTTCAAAATGTAGTAACTCTGTTTAATCGTTTTTGTAGATTGTTCATCAATCACATGTACAGAACCGTTAACTTATACACCTCCAGGATCAAGCTGTGGTTGTGTGAGGCCAATTCAAGTTAAACTCCAACTAGGTGTTGCAATATACACATTCTTCCCTTTAGTTACAGAGCTGGCTGAGGAAATTGCAGCCAGTGTGGCAATAAACCGTAGCCAAGTTCGAATTATGGGAGCAGATGCAGCTAGTCAGCAGCTAGAGAAAAGCGCTGTCCTCATTAACTTGGTACCCACAGGAATAACGTTTGATGGCACTACTGCATTCCAAATCTACGAAAAATTCTGGCGCCGACAGGTTTCCATAAAGCCGTCGTTCTTTGGAGATTATGAAGTCTTGTATGTTCACTATCCAGGTTATAAATTGATCCTTGACTTCTTGAAAGGCTTCAATGACGAGCGTGCAGTGGAAATATGTTAAACTTCCAGTACGTACCCCTTAATCCTATATCCGGATCCCTTACTTCTGAAATTCTTGCACATGTACAGGTCTCCCACCTTCTCCCCCCTCAGCACCGTCAACCATTTCTACTATGGATGATGGGCCATACATCGGAAATGACAACCATGGAAGGGCAATAAAACCTTTAGGTGTTGATGTGCCGAGGAGAAAAAAAGGTGGACTTGGAAGAAGTATGATTGCTGTGATTGCTCTATCATCCTTCACTGCCTTTCTTTTATGTGTGGGAGTTATTTGGATTTTGTTGTTGAAATGTGGACCTTGCACCCGACAACGGGAAAATTTTGCACAAACTGTATCATCCTCTCCTACAAAACTCTCAGGTATTCAGAATATTTTGGGAATGTGTTTGAGAAATTATTTTTGTTTCATAATCGAAATTCTCTGGCATTCTTCACAGTTTACTCTAAAATAATGACATTATATACTTTACAGGGCCTCCGAGGTCAGCGATGTTTGGAAGCATGCGTGGTTCTGAATCAACATCCTTGAGCTCTGGCACCATGAACTATACTGGATCTGCTAAAACATTCACTTTGAATGACATAGAGAGAGCAACTAATGCTTTCGATGCCTCGAGAATACTGGGAGAAGGTGGGTTTGGGCTTGTTTACGGTGGAATTTTAGATGATGGAAGAGAGGTGGCTGTCAAGGTTCTCAAGAGAGATGATCGTCATGGTAGCCGCGAATTCTTGGCAGAAGTTGAGATGCTTGGCCGTCTACACCATAGAAATTTGGTTAAATTGATTGGTATCTGCATAGAGGGCCATGCACGTTGCCTAGTATATGAACTTGTTCCAAATGGGAGTGTTGAATCCCATTTACACGGTAGATTCAAGTTCAAAAAATTAAATTCTATGCCAATAGTTCAACATTTCTTTCGTTGATTAAGACGCTTATATCGTTGGCTACTGCTTTGAATTGTGAATGACCCCTTTTAGTGTCCTCACAGGCATTGACAAGGAAACTGATCCGCTCGATTGGGATGCCAGAATAAAGATTGCCCTTGGTGCGGCTCGGGGATTAGCTTATCTCCACGAAGACTCGAACCCTCGTGTTATACATCGTGACTTCAAGGCCAGCAACATCTTGTTGGAATACGATTTTACACCCAAGGTTTCAGACTTTGGATTGGCTAGAGCGGCATTAGAGGAGGGGAAGAGACATATTTCAACACATGTCATGGGAACTTTCGGGTATGAACCCTTTTACCATCAAATATGTATCGTAATTTTTCCTCACTTCCTGAGTTTTGACATGTTAGGAGAACATTACTCCTCTCATAAATATGTATGCAATTTGGTTAGTGTACACATAACAATCTTGTTTCATATTGCAGGTACTTGGCTCCAGAGTATGCAATGACCGGCCATTTATTAGTGAAAAGCGACGTTTACAGCTATGGTGTAGTCCTTCTTGAGCTTCTATCAGGGAGAAAACCAGTGGACCTGTCACAACCTCCAGGCCAAGAAAACCTTGTTGCTTGGGCGCGGCCACTTCTCACAAGCAAGGAGGGGATAGAAACAGTTATAGACCCAGCCTTAAAGCCATCCGATATCTCATGGGATAGTGTGACCAAGGTGGCAGCAATTGCTTCAATGTGCATACAACCGGAAGTATCTCACCGCCCTTTCATGGGTGAGGTTGTGCAGGCCTTGAAGCTAGTATGTAATGAGTTCAATGAAACACAAGAACCGGGGGGTTCAATAAGTTGTGGTCAAGATGATCTTTCCCTTCATATAGATAGCGGTAACTTGGAAGTATCACGATCACTGCATGAGCAGGAGCTGCCGACTGTATTTGGTGCTGGCCATGACACCAAGATACCATCAACATCGGATTTGTTAAGTGCATCTGTGGCGGGACTCAAGGTTGAAGGGCAGGAATTCGGGTCTTTCAGGCGGTATTCTAGTTCGGGACCTCTGAGGACAGGGAGAAAAGTGAAGTTTTGGCAGAGACTACGAAGTTTGTCTAGAGGCAGCATGAGTGAACATGGGTTATCATAGAAATATTTAAGTGCACTGCCCTTCAATCACAAGCTATATAAATTGGCATCTGCTTTATCCTTTTCAATTTTAGTGCAATGCCTTGAACATGGGATTTGTAAATGACTCATTTCAAGTAGTTATTTGTAAATAATTCTCACATGCCTTTTGTAATGCTCATGTGGTGAATTTCTAATCCCTCTCATGTAACCTTTTGTCATCAATTTCTTCGTTACAATGCCTAAATTTCTTGGAATTTAAAATTTTATCACCCAAACATATGGAGGATAAAAAGATATTTAGACCAAGGCTGAAGAAGATTGTATTGAAATGAATAATTTTTTTAAGGTAAGAAATGAATTACTCAAGAATAAATGAAAATTTTCCTTCAAAAAAAAAAAGAATAAATGAAACTTTTGGAGGGAGGAAATAAATTTCTAAAGAAAAAAAAAACTTACCCATTCTAATCATCCCCAAAATAGTTGGATTGGAAGTGAGAAGTTTTCTAATCCCCTTTTAATTCTCCCAAAATGAAAAATTATTCTCTTTTATGTCTTGAATTTATAAGGTTAATTCAATCCTCTATAGCAAACAAGCCCAAATTCACAATTGAGTCCACTAAGGTTTTTACATCTAAAGCCCTAGCCTTCCCCTTCAGCACAGAGACCCACCAAAGTTCACAATTCTGGTGTACCAGGGATGCTCTATGAAAACTGTTGAGAACATGGAGGGTGTCATGTGTGATCACTCTTCTTGTTCCATCACAATCTTGATTGCTATAATTCTGATCCTAATCCTCTTAACAACTACAACATCTTTTGCTAGAGTCTTCTTATCCATGATGTTTTCAACACCATTTCTCAATTTGTTTGTGCCTGAATACAAAAGCTTAAAACCTAAATTTTCAAGATCCTTCGCCTTAATACCAAGCCACTTAGCCAAGATTATAGAATTAAGAGATAATAATAACACGGATTTCCCAGGGGATGTAAGCCATTTTTACACATCAAAGCTTCCTAAGAATCAAACAACCAAAATTACATCACAACACACATTCTTTCAACTAACCCTTTCAGTCACCTCTTAAAATCCTACTGGCTACTTAGGCCTTGTTTCCTTAACATTATATACCAGCTGCTGTTCCCAATCTCTCTCTCACAATCTTCACTCCAAAGTACCTGCACATATCAAACACAACATATTATGTTTTTATATGAGCGATATTCTACCTAAATCGTCTAAATATATTAAGTTTCAGTTCTTCCGAAGGAGCAGGAGATTTCATCTAAACATATTAATGCTCATGTGATCATATATACCTGCCCATCATCATGACAGTGGCTTGAGGATTAGTCCCCGGGGATTCAGAAAACGTCGAGCCATCAACAACCCGGACCCTGTCTACACCGAGAACCTTGTGCTCGGGGCTAACCACAGTTCCCACATGACACCCTCCATGGTAGTGCCAAATAGTGATCACAGTGTCTTTGCAGAACTGCTCCAAGGACTTCGTGTCATTGGTGTGCTTTGGTATAAGGTTAACATTAGCCTTCACACTCATGTTAAGCACCTTCTCCACAGTCTGCCTGTCACATTTTGTGTAGTTTGTGAAAGGTTCCGACTGCACAACTTTCGTGGCCATGCGGATTCCATCAACGCAGCGTTGAAGATCATACGGGTGGCTGAAGTAGTTGAAGGTGACTGAGGGGTTGTCATCAACATTGGTGTTGACAAGGCTAAGGTCACCTTTGGAAAGTGGGCTGGCAATTTTTTCTAAAATGAAGCCTCCTTTGAATGCCTCATGGGGCAAGTTTTTCTTTCTCCTAATATAAGCTTGAATGGCTTCTGGTGTTCTTTGCTTTGGGGGAATAGTAGATAGCTGCCCAATCTATAATTTGTATAACAATAAAATCAAATCAAATCCATGAGAATCTTACGAAGATTGAGCATCACGAGAAATTTTTCAATCAGACCGTAACACTACCATCAGTTATAACACAAAGATTAGTAATATTAGGTAATGGTATTACTTATTAGGGTGATACACGAAAATGAAATTCATGAAATATATAGGACAAAAATTAAACTCATGAGAACCTTACAAGGACTGAGCGTCATGAGAATTTTTTTTAGTGCGAGTGTAACACCATCTATGATGTTACCTGACATAACATGTTAATTACTAATATCACATGACAGTGTTACGGTCGGACAAAAACAATTTATCAAGCTTCGTTATTAAATACCAATAAGTTACTTACCTCAGCTGACATAATTCCATGGTGGCACTGAATACTATCCTTGGACTGGCCAAACCCACTGCTGCCTTCAATGTAGACACCCATCTTGGTAATCCCTACAGTTTCAATTAGTGTCTGCTTTTCTGGCTTGTTGCTTGGGACAAACACTGCATTCATTGGATTATCAGCCATGCCTTTCCCAACAAACTTGTTATCAAGCACCACTGGAATTTTCAATTTGTGGAGATCAGCTTTTGGTCCAATCCCACTTAGCAATAGCATTTGAGGGCTTCCAATTGCTCCAGTAGCCAATATCACTTCACTCTGTGGCTTATGAGCAAGCACTGCTTGGTGCTGATTCCCCTTTTCATCTTTAAAGATCACTCCCACTGCCTTTGGTTTCTTCCCTACATGAATCAAAATAATCTGCCTGCTTAATCTCTAAATTCAGAAAATAATTAATGCTTAAGTTGATGGAATGTGGATTACATTCGACAAGCAATATTAGGGGAAAAAAGGAACTAAACTCAGGACCTTGGGTGCTGGAGTGAATGCTCTCAACCAACTAAATGCTCTAAACCCTATTTTGTGCTATCAAAATATTACCTGACGTGTCAAAGACAATTTTTTGAACCGTGGCATAGACCAAGACAGTGAGTTTCTGAGGGTTCCCAGACGACAGTAGCTCGGCAGAAGTGTGACGGCGGCCAAAGCGGTCGTAAATGGTTCCTCCAACCTTGGTTCCGTAAACGTGATCATAAGTGAAGCCATTGAAAGGTGAAACTCCAACAGACAAAAGACTGTCCCTAAAGGCCACCTGCCACGGCTCAGGCTTAGGCTGGTGAACAATTTGCTTCTCAATCCATGGGTAGGACTCATTGACTATCTTGGCATCCCATCCCACTCTCTTTATAAACCTGCATATATAGAAAACTTCATTTTAATTCTTAAAAAATATGAGTTTTAGACTATAACTTGTGTAAGATTAAAATTCAATTTTAGTCGTACATTTAATCATCTCATTTATTAGTTATATTTTGATGTTTATTTATCTTTTTATTCCTATTTTAATGTATTAATTACATTTAAATTTAATTTTCATTTCATTCATCATAATATATTTTAATGTCTACATTTAGGCAACTAATATTTTTATAATATATATTCCGATAACAATTTTGAATGTTCTTCATTTAGGTACATTAATACATTTGAATATTTTGGTATATCTATCAATACAAACATACAGGGACATTAACTCAATATAATGCATTTTGGTATGTACATTTTGGTACATACATTTGAGTATTGACTTTTAGGTACATTAATTCAATATTAAGCGCGCACAGAATCGGAGGCAGATTCTCTGCCCTCCCACTTCCCCTGCCCTCTTGTTTTGTATGGTCACGGTTAAGTTACGTCAACATTTTATATTATTTTTTTAATAGAGATAATAAGACAAAAATGAATAGTAACATAAAATGTTGACGTAGCTTAACCGTGACCATACAAACAGAAGGGCACGAAAAGTGGGAGTGCAGAGAATCTGCCTCCCACAGAATCAGGCTTCAACATTATACAAAAACAGAGAACATTAAATTAAGCACACACATCAAATCTTAATGAGATGATGACTGTAGGTCCCCTCATATTTGAATTCAATTAATAATAACTAAACTTATCCTTGTATCGTCAAGGTTCCCTTAAAAAAAAAACCTTATTACACAATTAATACGTCAACCACTATACTTTATGGATCACTTTGTCAACTTAGAACATTGAAGTAAGGATATGATAATAACATGCATTTTTTTCTTCACATGAATAATTATATGCATTTATTTTGTTTGATTTATTTAGTCAGATAATTAAAAAAAAGTGTTCAATTATCAGTTCCTTTAAATATATAAATGTCACCTCTATTCCATGTCAAAGGGTTTTTTAAAATTAACTATTTTTCCAACTCAGAAAAGAGAAGAAAAGAAAATAATTGCACTTAGTTTTTTCTATGGTCAAATATGGGTAGGTGGGGATAAAACTAGAGGGAAGAAATCATACAGGTAGGTTATAGGATGTATTGTTTCGTGCTTGCAAGACCACGGACCACTTTGAATAAGTGCAAGCATTAACTAATGACTAGGGTTGCCTTAATGCTCGTTTACTAACCCGTAACTAAAATGAGGTAAAAGTATATTGTAGAGAAATTGAATTAAGGATGAGTTGAAATAGAGTGGAATCAAAATCAGATTCCTATTAAATCTATGTCAAAACTTTGAGCATGAATGGTATTGATTTATATAAGTTGTTTACTAATTCAAATGGATCAGAATAAAAAATAATGTGATTATTAAAATGCCCTTTTTCTAAATAATCTCTATTTTTATATGCTAATTCTTTTTCTTTTTAGTAAAACTTGTGATTTTTGTGGTCTTGCTGGTGTTGTCGTTAAGGTGTAAGGGTGGTGCGTGGTAGTCGTCATGATGTGAGTTGGCAGATAGAGAAATGGATGTTAGTAAACGCCGAAATGCTTTAACAATTAAGAGGAGTGCGATTCTGTTTCTTCCCACTTCAATTCCGTTAGGTAAACACGCCATAAATGTTACACTTGTTTAGTCTAATAATCTCACTGCTTAGTCAACATCCCTTTAGGTAAACACGCCATCAATGTTACACTTGTTTAGTCTAACAATCTCACTGCTTAGTCTACATCCCTTTAGGTAAACACGCCATAAATGTTACACTGTTTAGTCTAACAATCTCACTGCTTAGTCTACATCCCTTTAGGTAAACACGCCATAAATGTTACACTTGTTTAGTCTAACAATCTCAATGCCTATTCTACATCCCTTCATAAAAATGCCTATTAAGTTTTAGAACATGGGTCACACAAATAGCATTTAGTCTATAGAAGAAAACAGAAAGGAAAAGACTATATGATAGATGCCTTGATATGGTT